TAATAATAATAATAATAATAATAATAATAATAATAATAATAATAATAATAATAATACTTTATTTGCGGTCACAGACCCAAACACAAGTACAACAAAAGAAGAACATGGGAAAATTAATCAGGGTCTGTTTCAAGGAGAGACAGTAACTTAGATCTGCCTGCGTTATACATAGGGCAATATAAAAGGACATGCACCACAATTTCAACCTCAGCTCTGTCACAGGGGCATAGCCGCTCGTTAATCGGGAACTTTTTAAATCGCCCATCCAGTAGTGCTGAGGGCAAAACATTAAAGCGAGCTAGGGAGAAAGCTCTTCTATACTTGGGAATGGTTAGAGTGTAAAAATAGGAAGCCATCCTCAGTCCGTAATTATTAAATTGGCTGAAGTTCAGAGGGGAGCAAGTTTTGTTAACTCTGGATCGTAGATATTGCAAGTCAATGTCCACAAGCTGTTGCACTTCCCTAAATTGGGCGTCCTTAAGGCTATAATCTCCCAGGGCATCCCCCATAAAACCTAGCAGGTGTAATTTCTTCATCAGCTCCCTCTACCAACAAGAAATATGAGAGTCAGCAAACGCCAGGGAGAGTTAGCTACCAGGAACTGCCAGAAAGAGCACCTGAAACCACCATTTAAAGGTGTTAATCCACGTCATACATTCGACTGATCGAGTGCCCAGTTCCAGGTACATTGGAGCAAAACCAACACAAGGAGGAAGACCCAGAAGTTTTCTTAAAAAGACAGCCTTGGTTCTTTCAATACAATCCTTGAAGTCCTGTATCCATATGGGAATTCCATAAAGAGTTTGAGCCAAAGTTTTGGCTTTGTAAATACGCAGAGCAGAAGGAATAAACTGGCCTCCTTGGGTATAAAAAATCTTAAAATCTGCTGATGACTACAGGAGGCCGAGTTCAGCACCTGGATTCGATGTCTAGTCCAAGCACCGGTGTTCTGAAATTGAATACCTTAATACTTAAAATGGAAAACCTGCTTAACAGCATTACCATTGATAGCCCAGTTATACAATTTCCGGGCTCTAGAGAACACCAATACTTTGCATTTGTCGTAATTAGAAAGAAAGGAATAGTTACTGAACTACTAAGATTACATGGTTTTCTCTTTTTACCAAATTGGGATTTACATAGTTCATAAACAATGAATTGAATCTAGACTTTATAGAATCCGATTTTTCTGGTTTTGCCTCTCCATTGATATAAAGCTATTACAAAGACTGATAATTGATAATTGATACATTATAATAAAGCAACTTTTAAAATTAAGACTGTAGATATTCTCCCATGAATATGTTGGAATAAATTTTAATTCAGGAATAATTTTATTCCTGCGCTGTCTTATGACACCTCACAAAGGACCACCTTTCATGTAAATATTACCAGTCTCTGCACCCCAAATTCTAGCTACCTCAAGTAGCTCTATGCTCTCAGATAAAATAGCTTTCTTTTTAAGGAGCTTGCCCACAAATTATCTGAGATTTGTGATGCTGATTCTGGATCAAATTAGAATGTTCTTCTAACAAATAGATAATCACCTAAGTTTTTTTCTATAAAATTTGAATATTCATATAAGAAACAAATAAAAGGAATATATAATCATTGTGTCACACACACAATCAAGCAGATAATCTTTAAAAGGAGAATTGAGAGGAAGGAACAATGCCAAACTGTGATCCAATAATAATAATAATAATAATAATAATAATAATAATAATAATGACCTTTCCAGACACAATGCTTAAAGTAGCAAATAACAGTGAAGAAGATCTTCTGAAATATGCTGAACTAAATATCAATGATATATTGTATAATATTTAATAGGAAGTAATCATAGCAACCATGTAGAAAATTAATAGTAGTATATCAATTAATTTCTACTTAGGGACAACACTAACTAAATCTGCCAACTGAAGCAATTTGAGAAAAGTTGGGTTAAGTGAGTTTTTCCAAATCTGAAAAACACCCTTTAAAAACACTCCTTCCTTGATTCATTAGACATTAGAGCAAATGGTGGGAATATCATGTTGGAAAAAAACAGCTCTTTAGACAACCTGGTCTTAATATTTCAGGCGGTTAATAATCATAATTGCTAATTTGTGAATATGGGAAAGGGATGAATTGGATGCCCATGCAATTCTTGGAATGTTCTAATTTTTATTTTTGAGCCAGTTTAAAGTCAAAATGCATACCTCTAATAGAAAAACTTGCTCCATGTAGCACTCGCCCATTAAAAAATATAATTCTGCAGCCTCAAAGGTATTAGGAATATACCTTTCAATGCCACCTAGCAGCACCAAAGCCTCATTAAAACTGGAAAGAGCATCCTGTAAAAAAAGGTAGCATACAGTTAACTGATAGCATCATCAGCCAAATGGCATTGTCCAGAGCTATTCCACTATTCCATTATTCTTCCCAACTGAATTTTTTTCTGCTAAGATGTAAGACAGGAAAAAGCAGCATATGACAAAGAGAGATTGCAAACAGAAGCCAACATCATTAACAGGGTTCCCCAAAGGGGTTAGTATGAATCCCAAAGTGTTGATGAGACTAAATATCCATGGTGTTGATAGATGGTTGGGCATCAAAGGAGGTCAGTAAATATCTAGGATTTATAGGTGGTCAATAAATAATTGAAGGTCAGGTCTCTGTAGAACTCCATGTAAGTCCCTAGTCCTGAAAGTGATAGGGCTCGCAGTGAGTAACTCAGGGTTGGATGGTCAGCCACCAGCAAAAGTTGCCTTGAATGATCTTTATCAGCTGGCCTCATTTACCCATTTGCTTTGTGTTGTGTGTCTGTGTGCCTTCCATTCTCCTTCTTTTCTCTCTCATCTCCCCTCTCCTGGGAAGAATACACGTACATATAGTATTCCTGTTCATCTCCCATATTGAGCACATTCCCCAACCTCTACATTCTCCAATCAAGTATCAGTGCCCTTGTTGATGCTCATGTCATGCATCCTTTCCATTAATGTCAACAGTTTCAGTAATAAAGGTATGTTAAATCTTATATTTTTATACTTTAAATATTACATAGTTTAAGAAGTCATTATAGTTGTTATTGTTTGTAGTATTATTAGTTAAAGTAGTATTTATTAAATCATTTTCATATAATAAATGTTTGGGAATCTATAGATTGTCTGAAACTTCATGGAGGGGTTGATGAATTGAAGAGTTGGGGACCCTTGCTTTTAACCAAATTCTTGGGAGATCAACTTTGTACAGTCAGTCCTCAACGACCAAAATTGAGCCCAATATTTCTGTTGCTAAGCAAGACATTTATTATGTGAGTTTTGCCCCATTTTATTATCCTTCTTGCCACATTTGTTAAGTGAATCACTGCAACTGTTAAATTAGTAACACAGATGTTAAGTGAATCTGGCTTCACCATTGACTTTGCTTGTCAGAAGGTTGTAAAAGGTGATCACATGATTCCAGGATACTACAAGCATCATAAAGATGAATCAGTTGCCAAAAATCTGAATTTTGATCATGTAACCATGGGGATGCTGCAATGGTTGTAAGTATGAAAAATGGTCATAAGTCACTTTTTCAGGGTTGTCTTATCTTTGAACGATCACTAAACAAATTGTTGTAAATTGAGGATTGCTTGTACCCCTACAGTTGGCTTACGGTCTATCATATCAGATTTAATAAGCCTCTGTCTTCCAAATTACTCTGGCCTCTTTCAATGTAAATAATGGTTATAAAAAAGTCTATTATGAATAACAGAAGCACAAAGTTAGCTTCTTGCCAATGGCCTGTTAAGTTTCCTCTTTGCTGCCTCTTTGCTTATTGCATCATTTCAGGTCCTAATGCAGAAGGTAAATATGGTATACCATGTAACATGCTCACCACTGAAGAGCAATGGGACACATATATTGTACAAAATGTTAACAAACAATATTGTTTGAAACAGATAATCCTCAGGTCAGTTAACAACCATTTGAAATTACAACAGGGTCAGAACAAGTGCTTTATGGTCCATAAACATTTCTGGCCATTGCTCATACAGAAGAAGGAATTCATATTTAGGCATTCACTTGATGGTCATGAATTTCCTAATGAGCAACACAAAAAATGTCATAAAAATCAGATCCATTCAGGGGAATGTCTCAACTTACAATAATAACAACTTACACTGGAAATTTGGGTCCAATTATGGCCATAAGTTGAGGACTGTCTATAACTCAAGTAGTATATGAAATTTTAATTTTACTTCAGAGACCTTTTTGTAAAACTAGAAAGCAATTATCACAGAATGCTCATAAATAGATTGAACATTCTGCTAGATATAAGTTGCCTTATTGTATGAATATTTTATCCTCCCTCATGCTGTTATAGGAAAAGCTATGGCAAAGGGGTTTTGAATTAATTTTCCCAAAATCAGAATGTTCCAGTTCCCATAGAACTTAGTGAGCTATCTTTAGAACACAAGGGTAGCACAAACATTTTATAGTTGAAAAAATGTTCAGTGAAATGGATCTTTCCAAACGTACAAAGTCATATATCAGAATTTATAAAGATGATTTGTTAGGGAAAGGGTAGAAATAGAAGTAGAAAGAAATACCAAATCGTATCCAAGAAAACCAAAACACAATTTTGGATAAAATCCAAACCCTAATTACGTTTTAGACTATAGGAATATTTGTTGGTGCAGAACATTTCTGATTGCCTGATTTGCACAGTTCAAAGAAAGTATGGACTGAATTGTGTCCAAACTGGATACTGGAGCTGGCATGTTCAAGCTCAAGTTCAAGCTATGCCATTTAGTGGGACTCAGAAAATATGCTTGTTGTTGTGACACCTGCCCAGTGGAAGAGTTTGGCCTCAAATGATTATTATAGTCTTGATCTATTGGCCTTTGGTAAGGTTCTAAAGCCCGATGTGGGCTAAAGTGCTAAATAAGCCCATCTATACAGGAAGTAGGGTAGTATTCTGGTTGCTGTCCTCAGCTGTCTTCAGCTGCCAATCTGTTCTGCTATTTCAATATGTGTTGTGGGTTTGTATGATTGTTTTTCATTTATTTTTACATTTCCCATATGTACTTTGAGCCATGCAAGCTGAAGAAATAAATAAATGTATGTACCAGGCGAGGAAGAGAAAGGTTTCTTTCCCCTTTCCTGTGACTTCTCACATAGCCAAAAGTGAAACCACCATGGCTGCAGCAGAAAAAAAGAGGAATAGGAAACGAGCAGAAGGAGATTTAAAGGGAGATTTTTTTCTTTTGCTTGGATAGAGTTTGTACACACATCCAGGTACTTATTGATGCTCCTATAGAGATGATGGGCTCAAATTTTAAACATATTATAAATGAAACCATAAGGTTTTTTTTATAAAACCTACTCAACAAAAGGGATGCAAGTTTAATTAATAAAGCACTCAGTGTAAGCCATCAAAACAGAAAAATAAAATATTTGGAAATAGAGAATTAGAACTACAGAAGGAAGCAAATATTAATCAAATTCCATTTTAACAAACACTCATTCATCCATTTTCTACAACACTCATTCTTTAGGGGTTTGCCTTTTTAAAAGATTTAACAAAAACTCATGAACATGACTATTTTCTTAACCTTGAATTTTTTGGCTTTCATCTGGATTTTTCCAAGTAGACAATATATAGCAGGCTCAGGTTGGCTTCTTGTGGCTGCAATTGCACACTCAATAGCCTTATTATAGTTTTGACAAAATGACTGCACAAGTGCTTCTTGAACAAGTGAACATCCAAGAGATCCTGTAGGAGATTTAAATAATAATAAATGTAATGGTAATAGACCAAATTATTATTACTACAGACTTTGGTATACAGACAATGGAAAGAGAGAGTGTTCGTCTTCATTGAGAAAGTATCAAAACAAAAAAAGTATGGCATATCAATTATAACACTAACTCTATCTTGTATTTTACATACTATTGTTAAACTGTAATAGATCCAGAGAGCCATAGTACTTGAAGTATGTGTTGTTTATAGAGCTCCCCTGATATCTCAAAAAATTATAATTAGTTAAGTGGATCTACTATGCCATGGCTGGCTGAGGAGTTGAAGTCCACAAATCCTAAAGTTACCAGTCTGGAGATTCCTGTACTATACAAAAATGAAAGCAAGGGGGGGAAAACCATGCTGAATCTAACCAAAATTGCACAGTACTTTGAAAGAGCTATACCTTTGTCCATTTCTGCCACTTGGTGTATACAGAAACTTGCAAGTTGAAAATGCTTCATTTGTAGTAAATACTGTCCCCTGTAATAAAATATTTCAACAAATTCCTCACTATATTTGTGAACGTATTAAGACATTCCAAATCAAGCATTCTATTTAATCCACTATTAGTTTCAGTGGAAAACCTGCAGTTTTAAATAACTAAATCTCAGGAGCTCACTACATTTTTTTCAAGTCCTAACACAAAAGGAGGAAGGATTCTATGCTAACCATATGACCATGGACAGTTATAGGCATATGAAGGCTAGCTGCATCCCTTTCTCCCAGTGGAACTTCTCTATAGAAATAAGAAACCATTTTTAGTATTTCCAAAATTCATTTAAATCACCTTTATGGTAAGAAATGCTCTATTAAATATACAAAAATTACAAAAAAACCCCAAAACATTCATCTACTATGTTTACTATGTTTTTATGTTTACTATGTTTTTATGTTTACTATGTCTACTATTGACCTCACCCCTTTCCTAAGAGGCCTGTAGGGGGCGTGCATAAGCGCACCAACGTGCCTACCGTCCCTGTCCTATTGTTTCTCTTATTCTTTTATTTTTCTTATATGTACCCATTTCATGTATTCACAACTATGTATACATTTATACTTATTATCTTGTAAACAATTGGCAAATCAAATAAATAAATAAATAAAAAATAAATCTTTTTCCTGAGTCAGACATTTAATGACACATCAAAAATAGTTCATTTACTTAAGATATGTTTTTTTTATTTTTTCAGAAGTGGCATATCAATTTAATTAGTACATAATTAATTCTATTGATTTTAATGATCAAGTTTAATTTGAATTCTAGACTCCATTTCAAAAAGATGCTTCATGAAATATAAATGCAGCTCTTCTCTACAATTCTTTAAAGAACATTACCAGCTCCAAACAGCAGTTACATAATCCCAACAAATGTTATGGCTGCTTTAAAGAACTGCAAAACAGGTACTGCTTTCATCTCCTATCCACTCAAAACTTCTCATCTAAAAAACAGTTTATTTAAATAGCATTCATGATTCATGATTAATATTTCTATGGCACATAATTATTGAGCACTTTTCTAAGGAGATAATCTTTTTGAAGACCTACAATCTGTTCATTGACCCTCTCATCTCTGCAATCAGGAAACTGCATAAAGATGAGAAAGATGTGAGGGGCAACCTGGTTTTCCATCTTTTGCCCTTGCTATTATACACTGAAAATGTGTTCTTATACTGCAAATAAAAAGAAATCTTGAACTTAAGACTTAATGATACACATTACTACAATTATATGGACTACAATTAACTACAATTAAAAGTAAGAAAACAAAATTAAGCAAGATGCTTGAGAAATGCTTACCTTATTAAGAATAAATGGGGTAAGTTGGGATGGAGGTGAATGGCTCTATTTATGTCTTTAACTGAATTCTTTAAATCATGAACCTGTTTTTTTAAAAAAAGACATTTTTATTTCTCAGTCGTGGATGCTGAGACATTAAGTAATGCATTAAGTACATTCTGTTTAAAAACAAATATTTTTTCCTTCAAACTAGATCTCACACACCCTCCTTTTCTTTAGTGCTTTCCATACAGTCTTGACTCCTGGCAATTGCCTAAACTAGTCCCTGCAGATTTTTTGGCAATGTTGTGAAAGTCATTAGCCATTGCCTCCTTCGTAGGGCTGAGAGTGAATGGCTGGCCCAAGATAACTCAACTGGTTTCATGCCTAAAGCAGGACTAGATTTCACAACCTCCCTTTTTCTAATCTGATATCTTCATAACTACACTAAACTGGCTTTCTTCAGACTAGGTGAAATTTTAAAATCCCTCTTCCCTAAAACTGTGACTGTTCAGTTTCCCATTCTCCCTTAGTATGTAGTTGATTATACCATTGATCTGATATTGCAGTACATACAGTATGTAATCCACCACAATGTATTTTCAACAGAAGAGATTAGTAAAACAGAATATTATGACAAAACCTGGATTACTATGAAGGTGTCACAATATTTGAATAACGATGCACAGAGGAGAAAAGAAAAGGTAGAGGATCTAGTTTGGAGAAGGGCCCACTTTGTAGAACAAGTTCCTCAGTAAGGGAAGGAGAAAATATTGGTTTGGATTACTTGCAGACACATCATCAGCATCACTGCCTAATAATAAAAATGCCCTTCCTCTCTCTCTCTAGGAAATCGACTTCTCCAATTACTATTCCTTCTTAATTCTATTTTTGTTTGAACATAATATGTTCGTATCAATCTTTTTTATCAATGATGTTGGAAATCTTTAGTCAAATTATAAGTTCAGTGCAACCAGGATGTAGCAATAAAGTTGGGTAAATGAGGAAACGAGTGCAAACTCATTGGGGTTTGCTACGAGAAGCAAGAAAATAATTAGGATTCTGGTCCCCAGGTTTGCAATTAGACAAGTCCAGGCAGAGAAAGCATCGGCAAACCAGGAGAAATAATTAAAGAGAAACAATCATGGAATATTTGGATTCTGTAATAGAAATTGAATGCATCTGCCTATCTTTTGATGAGAAACCTGAAGGCCTGTTCCATTTCAGTTATATAATTTTAAAACTAGACGTGTTCACAAACAATTCAGAAAGACAAAAACCCTGAATCAAATATCTCTCGCTATTCCATGGTAAACAAGCAGACATATGGCTATTTGGGAATAAATATTTATAATTCTTAACTACGTAAAATAGATACCTTCTGGTAAGCTTGTGCCCTGCACAAGTAAGGTATAACATCTAATGGATCAACCCGAATGGCTTCAGTGAACCGTAAAATAGCATCAAAATACTGATCCGAATGCAACATCATAATCAATCCAATGTTTATATAAGGTGTTGTAAGACTCCTAATACAAAGACGAAATTGTATAAATATTACATTCTGCAGCAAGTCATTTCATAGAATTTACTGTCTTCAAGCACAGATATGTAAGTTTTTTAAAAAGTTTTTGTCACAAAACCAATGCTGCCGCCTTTCATTTTCGCCCTTATTCCTGAAGAACAAGAAAAACATCATGCCTGCTATTGTAGAAAAATAAGTTTATAGTCAAAGGAGTTTTATTGGAGAATGGATAACACCATTTGCAGTAGAAAATGGCAGAATTTCCTGTTGTGTTAAGAGTGCTTTGGGGTTAGGTATGTACCTGATAAAATAGAAAAGAATACTAGACTCATTTTATGAGGTTATCATAATAACATTCCTGTAATTTCAAGATTTATAAGTGATATTATATTAGAGGGTGCTACCCCATTGGACACTTCTACATTTGAAAAAAAAATGTTTCTAATGGCTGTAAAAGATATTCAGTGCCTTAAATTATTGTGGCATGTGTTGTTTTTGCAACCGGTTTGTATGATTAAATGCTACATTCAAGAGTAAGTAATTTAAAAGAGAGAGCAAGCCAGTAAAAAAATACCTGTCCAAAGCAATTGCATTTTCAAAATCACAGATAGCCAGGTGCCACTGTTTCAATTCTGCATACAAGATCCCACGATGAAGGAAAGCACCAATATTGTCAAATTTATGATTGAGAAGGACTGGAAGAGAAGAATACCCTAAATTTTCACCTGTTAAATGTGCCTTTAAATCCAGCTTTAATAAATCCCGTTTTAATAAATTAATCTGAAGGAGGCAATTCTTTTCTGGGATCAACTGAAAAAAGCATTATCAAGACAATGTTACATCGTATATGTGACATCACTACACAAATGTTACTTGCATTACATCACACAAATGACACAAATACTGCCAATTGCATCATAATGATGTAATGTAAAGGAAGTAAAGCATAGTATAATTTAGTCTGTTGCATAAAAAATCTACTGCATTAAGGTCTGGTAAACTGAAGTTTCATTTGTATGCTCTTCATCTCCCCAAGATGGCTGTTGTACGGTAAGAGCCTTTTTTCCTCCCTTGCCGATGATCTGCTATTTTTGCTGCCAAAACTGGTTCTCTAGCAGTGCTGCTCCCTGGATTTGAAAGCACTTAAGAATGACCCAAAATGACTTTTGGATGGTGGTGGACCCACCTGGATGTATTGTGAATGTATTATTTTCCTTTGCTTTTTGCCTTTAAAAGTTGACCAGCTGGTTGAATGCTGATTTATTTCAACCCCTACTAGATTCTAGCTATTCTTTTTTCCCCTTTGATTTATGTTGTTGTTTTGAATAACTTTCACGTTTCCTGTAAGGAAACATGGTGTGTTTTTGGATGGTGAAGTGCTTTCATTTGAATATTGGACTTTCACCACAGGGTTTTTGCATTTTTTGTATTTGTAAAACATTTGCAGGATTTTTAAATTTTTCTTTTGATCTTAGATTGAAATATCTAGAAAATACATTTCCTATTTCCTTCTGCTTCAGCGTTCCCTGATCAAGTTGTACAGAGCAACAATGTATCATATTATAGATAAGCAATAGTTACTGAAAATTGAGAAAAGACTTTCTGGTAACATGCAACTTTTAGTTGAAAGTTTTCTAAATAGTTTGATGAAGTGATAATGGCCGTGGAAAATATACAAAGGTATGTAGTTTTAGATATGCTACACAAAATGACTCTGATGTGAGAGTTTCAGACCAAAGAAATATGGACCCCACAGATGGAGAACTAACTCAGCCAATCACTTACATCTCCTGGGAGCTATATTCTTTCACAATACTAGTAACTTGGCTGAAGGGAGAAATGACAAATTGTTTTTTCCTAGAACTGAGGGAGATTCGAGAAAGGACTTATTACACTTAACTGGAAATCACACTATCTAGATTTTGTTTGGAAGATAGACCTACTGTGAAGACTGAATTTATTATATTTAATTAAGACAAAATTTGACAACATATCCCATTAAGGAATAAACAATATTTGATCCAGTCTTAATTTTGGGGATGATTTAGGATAGATAAGATGCCACAGCAAATTTTCTACAAGTTGATTACAATAACAATTGGTTAACAGAGGATTTTGAAATTTTAACTTTGTCTTTTATTATTATTATTGTTCTTCCTGTTAACTATTTTCTCATTAATATAGTATATAGATGACAAGTCAATAATTTGCAAATAGATTTATTAGTTTAGAAATTGGAGGGGCTCTTTTGCAAGGGGTGGGAACCAATATTTTAGTAATGTATTAATCAGTATTCAGGTGGGGGGATAATGTGTATATATGTTGGAGTTTTTTTCTTTTCAATACACTTTTTAAAAAAATCTTCATTGCTTTATATTTGTGTTTTTTATTTATTTTTATTTTGTATTTTAACTTCCTTTTGAATAAAATAAAATAGATTTTAAAAGTTAATTTGCTCTTCATTCATCTGGTAGAAATTTCAAGATTTTTATAATCTTGAATTTAAGTTGAGTTTCAGAAAAATTTATGATTTGATAGGAAAGTGGAAAATAATATTTTTCTATATACAAGAAACTTAAACCATATTAATACTGATTGAAGTCCCAATGATAAAATAGCTCACCAATATTTGAAGCAGAATCTAGTAATATCTAAAAGTGTCCTTACATCTCTGTGCATGCTTGTGTGACTATTAGAAAGGTAACAGAAACCTTCACAGATTTGTAAAAAAATGAAATAACCTGAAATACCTGAATGATCACCACTATAGCAGCAAACCAGTTTTTAGCCTTGTATAAATCAATTTTTCTTGGATATGTTCGTGTAAAATAGTTATGTTTGGGAAAAGAGCATTATCAACTTTTATGTGTGTGGCTTCACGTAAGGGTTGACTTCTGGCCATTGTCTGGAAAAGTCCTTGTGGTTTTCTTAGCAAGATTTCTGAAGTGGTTTCCAGTTACCTACTTTGATGGTTTGCCATTGCCTCTAGGGGAGGGAGGGAGAGGGAGAGGGAGGGAGAGAGGGAGAGGGAGAGGGAGAGGGAGGGAGAGAGGGAGAGAGGGAGAGAGAGAGAGAGAGAGAGAGAGAGGCTTTGTGCCTTAGGCTGGACTAGAACTCACCAAATTGGTCCTCATATCAACTGTTAAAATATCATATTAACTGACTCTCATATGAAAAGTGTATACCAATTCAGTGTATATTTCAGACAAACTGCATAGAAAATGATACATTAGTATTATTTTCATTTAAATAAATAATATACAGAATCTTGTGAAGAAACAGGCAACTATTACAAATAATTAGATAGACAAGATATAGATAATTAGGAGTTCTGTAATTTCAGTTCAAAATTACTTATAAAAGCAAAAATATACTTTTCAAAATGCATACAATATTCTTCTCACAATTATAGAAAACAAATTCATTGAAACAAATAATTTTTTCATAAAAGCAATTCATATTTTAATGAAAATTAAAGTAGTAATACCAGAAACACTTAAGTCCTGTAGAGACTGTTTTGGATCAATCTTCCTCAAAATGCAACCTCTGTAATAGAATGCTATCCAGTTACGGGGATTCAAATGAATTGCAGCAGCTAAATCTGCAGCTGCATTTTGATATTGCTCTAGCTTAATGTAAATTCTTCCTCTGTAGGTTCTGGAAAGAAAGTTGCATCATTATTTCCAAGACATTATACTTAAAACTTTAAAAAGTCAGCAGGATTTTAACAAGTATCTGATCTGACAAAACAACTATTTATTTCTGTAAGAATTAAAATTTTAAATATAAGTATAAATTATATTTTTATAAATGTATATTTGGGTTTATAAATATATACATATAAATTCATATATCTATATTTATTTATATTTTAACTAAATATAATTTTTTAATATTTGTTATATGTACTTGTTAAATTCATTTGCCACCTATCTCGCCGTGGGGTTGCTCTAGAGCGGCTTCCAACAATAAAAAGGAAGAAATGAAAAAGGTGTAAATAGAACAGGAGTAAAATAATAGAACAATAAAATAAACAATGAAAAAGAACATGAGAATAGCTCAATATTATAACAAAAAGATGGATGGGTGGAGAGCAGAGAGGAAGCGGATAGGTGAAGTTTGCCATCAATCCAGCAGCCACTGTGGAATTTCCCCATCTGGTCCCCAGGCCACCTGGCACAGCCAGATCTTCAGGCTCTTGCAGAAGGATAGAAAGGTGGGGGAAGTTCTTACCTTAAAAGGTAAAATATGACCTAAAGAGTTAGGAGGAAGATTTTTCCCTAAATGCTTCTTATATAATTAAGGTATAAAAGAAACACTTCCATGAAAACAAATATACTTGTGTGTGCAATGACTGCTGATATAGTTTATACTGGTATTTTATATTTCCAAGTCACCATATAAGTTTAACTAAACAATAAGTAATTATCAGCTCAAGCTTTCATTCAAGACATTCTAGGATTTGCATCATGTCATTCCCACACTCAAATGCTCTACAAAATCCTCCCTATTTCATCCATACTTCATCCAAAAACATAGGAAGATTTTTACCATTCAATGTTGATCTGCCGTTTACAGTTCGTTGTATTTCTCTTAATAGGCTAGAACTCTCCTTATTCCATATTCTCATTTGGGAATTCTTAACTTATTTCAAATATTTCAGCAAATGCATTGTTTCTGTTTCACAGAAATTACTAGCAATGGTAAATTTCCTTAGCAAATTACTTAGTGGTGCCATGTTTAGGGGTCACTAAATTAAGATTCAACTGTTTTCAGGCTTCTATCTAATTTCCTTAGCAAATTACTTAGTGGTGCCATGTTTAGGGGTCACTAAATTAAGATTCAACTGTTTTCAGGCTTCTATCTTGGTAAGAAAAGCTTCATTTTCCTTAAATCCCATAAAAGACTTATAAAGTAGTTTATTTTTCCCTCAATTAGGAGTATTCCCAATGGCTTCTTTTAATGACCAGGAGGAATATTCCATAGATCTTCTTAAGAGTTCATTTTGTGGATAAAGACAGCTCCTACTCCATTGAATAAAGTAGTACAGGACAAAATTAACTTTGGGGGGACTAAAAATAGATGAAAAATTCAGAGGATTGAAATAGAATCTTACACGATCGAGAAGCTTTCTCTGAACAATCTCATCTCATTTACTTATTTATTTTTCATTAACAGAGGGTGCAAGTTTAGGCAGGGACTTATTAGTAATCCAACATCTTCAATGAAATCCTAATATGTTTTGAGCTTTTTATGCATGTTTATAGTTTAAAAAATAGCTGCCACAAGATCAATTTAATCTTTGTTTTATATCAGGGGTGGGATCCGACAGGGTTAACTCCCGGTTCGGTGATTTACGAGATGATTTACGAGGTTCGGTGATTTACGATGTGTTTCCCTGCATGCTGCGCTGGCGTGCCTGTAAATCGTCATTAGCACGCTACATGCAGAGAAGCAGCCTTTCAAAAAGCACTTTTTTCCTGCTTTTTAAACTGCAGCTGTGCCTCGCATGGCAGCTGAAGTTGAAAAAGCAGGAAACAAAGGTCAGGTAAGAGCCCGGGCGGGCAGGTGGGCAAAAACACCAGCAGACATAGAACCGGTTCTATGTCTGCTGCTCCTCAGAGCTACCAGTTCTACAGAGGTGGACAGAACCGGTAGAAACCCACCACTGATTTATATCATTTATACCAGATATACTGTAAGCCATTCAACTAATCTGCTAGTCAAATAAAAATGCCTTTAAACCTATTTTACAGGTCCTTAAACTTGCAGAGATGAAGAGGAGGGAGTTAATTGTGGATGCTTACAAATAATGAAATACGACATTATATTAGATATCTGCAGATTAGTTTAAACTACAAATATTTCGAATAAAATATAATTTGTGCTTACCTTGCTTCTGCGTGTTTTGGATCATTTTTAATCACAGTTGTAAAATCATTCATAGCTACAGTCCAATTTGATTTGTTAAAATAATATACTCCATGTTTCATACGTGCATCAATTCTTTGGGGATCATAGTAAAGGCACTACATTGATTTTAAAAATACATAAACACTTGATAAAGTTTACTCTTATTTTAATATTCATCAGAATTCTAAACAATGCAAACAGCAGTCATTAAAAAGGTAATAAATCATTGCTTTTATTGAATCATCTTCTAAATTTGTGATTTGTTTTCTGCCTGAAATAGCAGAGGCGTTGATGCTGTTCATGTTTTCTTATCAGTAAATCCTTTTGTGTATTGTGACTTTTTACTTCTGAACATAAACATATAAAATTGCATTATAACAATATTGCAATGCTGACATTTACAGTGCTTTTGAATAATTTACTTTGTTCAGAATATAACAAGTCTGGGTAAGTTCCAGCCTCAGCAGACATCCATGCAATAGCCTGGAGGTGCTGAACTACCCCTTGTGGTCTTCAACAGGTGATGGTGGCCTATTGCTCATTTGATTGTTCAGCAGCTGAGAAGCGCAAGGAGGAAATTCCAAAGCCAATTGATCATGGAGCTATTTGGGAGAACAGAGAAGAGACTGCTGAGTTCCTGAAAGTTACTGGAAGAAAAGTGGAAGCTACAATGCTTCCCTCACCATCAGAGGTTCTCTCAGCTAGCTTTTCACTATCATATAGGAATAGGAACCCAGCCACCTAAAGCAGGTATGCTAATATGAAGGAAGCTTCATTGGTTCCTCTTTTGTTGCAGGAAAACTAATAAAAGTGGGTGGAGGCTTGGGTTTTACTCATGGGAGGTGTGGGTGAATGGCTTCATCTGCCTGTGCAACTCTTCCCCCAATCCATACATACAGTTACATGCAAAAGTAAGTACATCCTCTTTGAATTTTATGGTTTTACGTATCAGATCATAGTAAAAATCATCTGGTCCTTAGTTCCTAAAAGGAGGTATGATGAACAACAATACACGGTTTCCCCATTTTGGCTTACTTTTGTAAAAGAAATGATGACATTGTGTAATATATGTCATATGTTGTTCATCTGAGGTGATATTTACTGAATTTTAAGAACTGCTAAAGACCAGATGATTTTTACTATTCTCTGATACGTAAAACCATGTAAGTCAAAGAGGGTGTACTTACTTTTTCACATGACTGTACCTGGATGGAGCTCTCGGTGTTAACATATATCAGGGTATCCCAAAGTGGTTCATGTTGACCCCAAAAGATTGATAAAACTATTATTGTTGCTGTTATTATTTGTAATATTATTATAGTAGTATTTATTATTTTCATATAATCAATGTTTGGGGATTAAGGAACAATCTGAAACTATTTATCCATTTGTTTTATTTATTTATTTATTTTTTAAAATTTGCAGACATAGACAGTTTGAAGATTATCCAGCTTTGGTTTTTTTTTAGAAACATAGAAACCTGATGGCAGAAAAAGAGCCAGTGGTCCCTCGAGTTGGCCCTTTGAATTTTTTGTTTGTTTCTGTATTTTTTAATTTATTTATTTGTTTTTAATTATTTTATTACTATTTTAATTTTAGAATTATTTATTTCTATTGTTTTTCTTTAAACAGCAGACCATCTTGCTATAATACAAATTACATTAAAAATTACCTGGGTTTCAGAGGTATTATGACTACTGTTAAAATTATTATTTTTTAAAAAATTGCTCTTTTAATTAATTCTTTTGGTGCATAGATTTAATCATGTAATTATTTAAGAGCTAGTCAATATATAATGAAATTAAAGATAATAATGCATACCTTTGTATAATCTTCCATTGCCAGTATTAACTCACCCTCTTCTTCATGGATTTCACCTCTCTTGTAATATATTTCAGGATCTGTGGGTCTATATCTCAGTGCCAAAGTGTAATTTATCTTTGCCAAGTGATTATTTCCCTGTTTTCTATATATCTGAGCTCTAGACAAATAAGCATCTACAAGTTCAAAATAGGAGAAAAATATCTTAAATATTAATGGAATACCATTCATGTATACTTTTTAAAATAATTTCAGTTTAATGTAATGAATCTTAAGTTTTCATAGGAAATTGGATGATTTATTTATTAGATTTTTTAATCTCACCTTTATTACCTTATAAGTAGCTCAAGGCAGTGAACATACCTAATACTTCTTCCTCCTCCTATTTCCCCCACAACAACAATCCTGTGAGGTGGGTTGGGCTGAGAGTGAGTAAGAGGCCACCAACAGTCACTGATGTTAGGGATAAACTTCGCTTTGTTTGTTCTGCCAGATGTATATAGATATATCTATATATCTAATATATATGTATATCTATCTATATCTATCTATCTATCTATCTATCTATCTATCTATCTATCTATCTATCTATCTATCTATCTATCTATCTTTAGATGCAGCCCAAGGCAAGCCAATAGGTTGGACACCCATTTTATATGTGTGTATGTATATATTATACACACACACACATTTAGATGTAGCCCTAGACAATTCTTTCATTCAGTGCAGCCAAGTGGCATGCCGAAAGGTTGGCTGTTCATGATCTAAATTATCACTGTTATCATGATCATACCTAGAAAATAATTCACAAATATTTGACTAATCAAAATGTTAAACAGTAGTCTATCTAAGTAATTATATATAGTATGATATACATTATGTATAGTCAGTATCACACTATATACAACATATTTTGATACTGACAACAGGATTTCAAAGACACTTACCTGTATAGCTTACATTGCATTTAATTATAAAATTCAAATCTTCCAGAGCTGGAAGAATTTTGTTTTGGTAAACAAATATTAAGTGTCTATGCCAATAGGCGTTAGCCAGAAATCGTTCCAAATGTATTGCCTACAAAGATAATGACATATTTAATTAGAATGATTATTTTATTTCTGCACTATTTCTACACTTCAATGCTGTAGAAGAAAATATTATAAATACTGATCTGATGAGAAATATTATTTAAATATTAGTTCCACAGAGGGAAAAATCAGTTTGTGTTTATATTCTTATCATATGGCGTCTTTGTATTTCTTCATCTAATTGCTCATTACCTTTTCTCATGCAAATTACCACATATTTATTCCATGACATAAATTCCCTGGCACAGGTTCAATGTAAATATTCTTAACATAGACACTTTATTGCAACGTCTCTACCAGTTTGTATGCAACTATGAGTGTTTAACATATCTGGGAAAGTAGAACCGGAAACAGGATCATTGCAAAAGTGATATCACAACCCAGGAAAGTGGGAAAGCAGAAGAAAGAGATTCCAAGCAACTTCAGATTAATTATTCTAGACTTAAACTACCTGAGCAGGAACATTGATATGACAGGTTCTCAACTCCCGCTTTTTCAAGAGGCAATTGGACTTTCTTGTTTTTCTTTGAAGTTATTTATTTAGCTTTTCATTCAAGAAGCTTCTTCAGCTCTGGATGAGAGCCGAAGAAGCTTCTTGGATGAGAAGTGAAATGTCTTTAAAGAAAAACAAATCTAGTTGCCTCTTAAAACAGCACCTTTGGACAACCAGTACCTGGATGACTGAGAATCTCCATAGACAGAGAGGTTCTCAAGATTAATACTGAATCATGCAAGACTGGCAAACTCCTGATACAAGAATCATTTGGATATCTAAGAAAATATTTCTTTCTAGTAGGGTAATATAACAGAACCTTGAAAACCTGTCAAAGTAATTCTCTCATTCAACTTATTATAATTAAGGGAGGGGAGTGCTCTGAGTGTAATTTTCATGTTTCCCTGCTCCGGGATGAATTGTCTCTTTTGCAATGGACTTGTTGCCTCCTCTGCCTGGTTTCCCGGAATCTCTGCCTGATTTCCCAAGTTCTGTGAGACATTCCATGACAACAATATTTGGTATAGTACCTTCCTTTCAAACATTGTTTGCCGTAGATTTTGGATCAGAGAAACCTCCACATTACCCAGCTTCACTTGCTATTAGCATTTGTGTACTATTGAAAACTGGTAGAAGCTGAGAGGGTACTTGTTTGGAGCAATGCAGATGGAGCAGCCAAAATGCCACAAGAGCTAGTCCCTGAAAACCATTGAAGAGATTATCTCTATATTATAATTGCTAATATAATATATGAGGCCATAGTCACAGAACTGAGAAAGATTCTGGAACAATTGGTTTTACAGGCTCAGAGAAGAGAGAATATGGAGATAGTTGTGGTAAATAATTATACACTATATCTGCCATACATAAAATCCTATCAATTTAGTCAAATGTAAGGCATATTACTATAGAAATGTAACTTTTGTCTTCTAACATATGGCCTGACTGCACTTCGGTAATTAATTTAAACCATGTTCAAGGCCAATTGAAATATACATTATTCGCGGACTTATTTCTTATAAGATAATCTCAATAACTGGCTATAAGTCTTCATCAACATAGTGTAGGCTATCCATCTCAACTTCATTCGGACTATTATTTCAAAAGTTGTCTCACATACCATACTTACAATAAAAATATTTAAAGATACAAATTCTGTACTTGCCTTCTACATCACATGTAGCAGCAATAATACCCATTCATTAATAATTGTCCTTTGCATTATTTACATCGATCAATTCTTTGGCATACTGTGAGTTTCTAAATGAATTATTTTCATTCTGTTCTACTCTGCTGGTTATAGTTGTCTTTATTTATGAAAATACATTAAAATATGGGTCATGGTAATACAACACATTCTGAAATACTTACCCATATATCTTTTATATATTTTGACCAAGAAACTGATTAACCAAATGAAATTTGTTAACTACATATTGAATTAGCAGAAATCGTATATGTAATTCATGTATTATACCTTCAGTACATAAAAAATGCCTCTCTGATCACCTAGTCCAGGGGTGTCAAACTCCCATCATCATGGTGGCATCATGTGATGTATCAGGACCTTTCCCCCCTTCGCTAAATGGGGTGGGGGCTTGGCCAATGTATGATGCATCTGGCCCACGGGCCCAGAGTTTGACAGCCCTGACCTAGTCAATAGCATCAACAAGCAACTTGTCTCCTGAACATGATAAATTGCCATATGCATTCTTTGAACTTTGCTTGCAAAGGCTTTATTCAAATGACTTCCATGATACCAGAATTTATTGACTAACTCCCCTGAAGCAGACCACCCTTGAGAATTGATATAACATGATCACATCTAGTCAGTAAAGATGGGGGGAAAAAACTTTCCTCTTTTCTCCTCTGCTCTAAGAAAGACAATTTCTATCTTCAAGAAATTCTCAGTTTCACATTTCTCTTTGTTCTCTGCCCATTATGAAGTATCCTCATGATCACTTTGAGAAGTTGTCCTGTTATTACCTGGCATTCAAGTTCTCATCTGCTCTATGCTCGTTATTGTATTTTATTTATTTACTTGTTTACCACTACCATCACCACCCTTTCTCATTTCTTTTAGACTTAATTTCATTAATTTCATTTAATCCAAATTGAGTGCTGTTGATCTAATATATTTGTATTCAGTACCATCACTAGATATTAAGCAGCTGAGGGCAATTGCTATATATGTTTTACCTGTTTATTGTACCTGGATCCCATTTTATTTTTTATTTGTGTTGGTTTTTATGTTATTTATGAACTGCCCAGAGAAATGTGGAGTCAGACAATTCCTAACTTGAATTAAAAAATTTTTTAACATTTATAATAAATTATATGACTTTTATGAAAAATTATTCCCTTTTGGATTGTCTGAATTTTTTGTGTCTTTGCCACTGAATGTTATAAGAACTGCATCTGAGTCTCACTGATACATAAAGGAAGTCTAGATTATTAAACCAAAGTGTGATGTAGCAATGTGAAAAGTAATCATCCCCTTAGATTTAGTAAATGACTGAATCATTTATAGTTGGAGTAACCGCAACCAAATTCCTATTTCTATTTAACTATTAGCCTCATATTGTGTAGAAATTCTGGCTCATCAATCCATGGCAAACTGCTTCAACTCAGTAACATATAGCAACAGCACTTATATACTGCTTCACAGTGCTTTACAGCCCTCACTAAGCGGTTTATAGAATCAGCATATTGCCCCCAACAATCTGGGTCCTCATTTTACCAACCTCAGGATGGAAGGCTGAGTCAATCTTGAGCCTGGTGAGATTTGAACTGCCAAATTGCAAGCAGAAATAGCCCACAGTACTGCATTCTAACCACTGCGCCACTGCAGCTCGATTTCCTAGCACAAACTGGTTATTTCAGATTCTATCGCTATTTCTCTAACACTCTCTGGACTTTGACATGGTCACTCCAAAACTGTTAATTCGTTATTTCTGGAAAATTCACTAAAACCCAGCAGTATTCCTTTTTCCTTCATGATAGCAACTTGTCCCAGTGGTGAGGCAGCTGAGGAATCCTCAGACCATTACTTTACTGCATTCATGCTTACGAACTGGTATGAAGTTCTTACTGTGGAGCACAGTGTTTAGTTTTTGCCAAATGCAGTAATACTGTTGTAGCTTTTTTAAAAATCACTTTTGACTCATCTATGCATATAACATTTCTCCAAAAGTCTTCATCATCATCTTGGTGCTTTTTGGCAAACTTGAGATGAGCATCATTGTTCTTTCTTGTTATGCTATGTGCTTTTCTGATACGGAATCATAAAAATTAACTTTAGACAAGATGAGAAAGACATGCAGATTATTTAGACGGGGGGGGGGGGGTGTAGAAGTGTCATGATATGTAAGAAAGACCTTGGAAAGTGGGCAAAGAGATGCTGCCTGGGAAATGGTCAGATAAGAGACATCATAGTCCTCAGCTGGATAGGTGGGGCAAGAGGCTCAGAAGGGACCATCCCCAGCTTCTTGAACTGTAAAGGAAATGGCAGAAGAACTGTACTTTCAGACTTGCCAGATTCTGTTAAAGTAGCTTTATAGTAAAATAGAATTAGCTTGTCTGAGGGCTTTTTCTACCCGGTAAGGCTGACAGGAGGTGACTTCTAGGATGATTTTGTGCATATATTCTTGGAGATTTTTGACAGAGTATCACTCTTGGGAAGATATGTCATCTCAAATTATTTAAGATTTATATCTCTGAGTATGAATTGATAACATCGCAAAACTTTATAGAAATTGTTTTGTAGCATTTTCCAGGCAATTAAGCATCAATGTTTTTTTAATGAAAGTTGTCAGACATTTGAGTAAGACATAACATACTTCCAGATTCTATATGATAAATAACCACTATCATAAGTCAAAGTTACTAGGCTGACACAGTTCAGAACTGTCCTAATAAGTCCTGTTTAATTTTTTGCATAACTGGCCCTCACTACCTTTTAACTTTTAAATTATTAAATGAGGGATGATTGCTGTTTCACACCGATATATCACGTTGAATGATACTGTGAAATAAATGCAACAAGCCCAAAGTTTGGTACTATATTTGGTTGAGGATAGTACTATATCTATCTTTTTTAAAAAAATATGTGAACTTGTGGCAATATACTGTTACTGATACTGTTCAATGACAAAATCTTCAAAAAAAATCAGAAAATCTTAAAGGGAAACACCTTTTCAGAGCTCTAGATTTGTGTTTTCTTATGTCTCTTGTCAACCTCCCTTCTAATGATTATATATGTACACATATATACATATGTGTGCAGGAAAGCAAATACATGTGGAAATACTATGGCATTATTTGCTAAACAGTTTAGAATACAAAAATAGGCAATGTTAAAAACTGGAAAGTTTCCTTTTGAAAAGTGAATATCAGAAGAAAGAGGAAGAGGCACCCTTGGAAATCTTTAGCTATACAATAAGTTAAGTAAAATTTATGAACAAAGTATTTGTTTTAAACAAACTTTTTCTAAGTCATCCAACGCTGACTGCATTTTTCCAATCTTTCTGTATATTGCTCCACGACGACAATAGTTAAATGCTAGAGCACATCCTTTATTTATCTCTTCGGTTATTCTCTCAATCTCATGCTCACACTGTGCAAGTTCTTCTTTTTTGCCATCAAATAGGAAAGGATTCACATAGTTTGGTAATTCTTTTTCTTTTGCAGCATCCTCCGTTTTCTGTTCTAAAAGACGTTTGCCTAACATCTTTTTATCTTCAGCAGGTTTGCTACTGGGAACAAACAGCTCCCCAAACCATTTATTCCATAATAGCCTGGCCCAAAGATAATTAGAATCTTCAGGTCCTTTTCCCTGTTTTTTGGCAAATGTTTCAAAGTTTAACAAACAGGGGAGGCTGGGGCTTCTATAAAGTTTAATTGTTCGAGATATTTTAATAGAGTTTTTATTATGCATCTTAAGCTTCTGAACAGTCAGAGACACAGATCTAAAAAGGAGAAGCAAAATTACGATCAATGTGTAACTGAGGTAATACAGATTACTGAAATAAATGTTATAAACTGCAACATTTAATAGCTTGTTATTTATATATTTATCACTTCATACCACCTCAACCTTAGAACAAATTTAAGATGCCACAGGACTACCCAGCTTAAGTACATAATATTAAAATTATGGTAAGAAAATTTCTAATGGAAACACAAGTAGAATTGTCCATTAGTGTGGAAGTATATAACTTTGTAATCATGTAAAATGGCATACACCTCACAAATAAATAACTGATTTCTGATGGAGATAATTCAATCTATTTTGCAAGTTCAAAGGGAAACTCAAAATAATATCTCTCTTAGTGAACTAGGAGGATGATTCTGTAAAATAAAAGATTCATTTTTTCAATGTTCAGACTTGAACACTGGGCGCTATCCAACAAAATAAAATTCAATGGTGAAAAAAGTTAGGTTCTACATTTAGGCAAGAAAAATCAAAGGTCCTCCAAGGTCCCTTCCAACTATTCTATTCTATTCTATTCTATTCTATTCTATTCTATTCTATTCT